TGTGCAAACAGAGGCAACCACCAGGTGCAGGGGAAGCCTGGACAGTGAGGAACTCCAGGCTGGCGGAGCCAAGACCACTGCAGGATGGCAGGTATGACCAACCAGCCAGCCTCCAATGCTGTTCTGGCAGGAGTGCTACAGCCACAAGGAACAATCTAGCAAAGGAAGAGCAAGCAGCTAGTCTAGTGTCTCGTGTCAGGAGGCATCACGCAGACAAACTAGTTTCATGCTGTCTGCAAATTCAATATATGAAATTTAAAATGAACCGTTTCCCAGAACACTGTATACCAAAAAAAATTTTTTTTGGTACCAAGGATCAAACTCAGGACTTTGTATTTGCCAGGCAGGCACTCAAGCCGCTGAGTTATCTCCCTGGCCCTAAATGTCATAATTTTTAACAAGTTTATTTTGGAACACATTATTCCTAACTCTTCAAAGTATTTCCCGGGGGCAAACCCAGATTATTTTCAATCCTTGGCTAAAATAATATCAGCATGCCTATCTTTATGTGCCTACAGGTCTTATATGTTATTTTTTTTTTAGCATATCCTAAAAAGTGGGATAACCTAGCCAAAGCACAAGCACATATAAAGGTTCTTCACATACACTTTAAAAAACCCGAGTGAAACTGCTGCACCCGATCCCTCTGAAGCCAATAGTATGCGACAGTCTTGTGATTTTACTTCTACTGCTCCTGGGTGTTATCTTAAAAGACAGCCCGTACTGACTCAGTTGGTGCTTCAGGGTTCCTAAGGAGGTGACCTCTGCTTCAGGGAAGGCCCCTCCAAAGTTTATCGACACCCGGGCCCATGCGAGGCACACGCAGTGCGGCAGTCAGCCAGAGGCGACCAGGCAGCACGGCAGTCAGCACCTTTCCCCAAGAGTTGCCCGCTGTGCCCTACGTCAGGTCTTGCAGCTCAACCTTGCCTCTTCTCTTCTTTTTCCAAACCTGCCGACAGACAGCAGCTTCCCCATGGTAACAAACGAACTCCTTCCGCACGCTGACCACCACTAATGTCCAGGGAAGCCCGCCACAGGGGGCCACAGTCTCACCTTCCTGTACACTGGTGAAGCATTTTATACAAAGCAAGCACTGCTAACTCTTCTTCCCCAGTAGGGTTTTCCTGATCCATGCCATTCACTTCTGTAAGACAAAACACCATACACTGTAATTTCTTTTTTTAGAAATCTTTTTT